GCCACAGACAAGAACCCCGGAAGCCTTCGAGGGCCCCAAATCGTTGAACACCTAACGGCAGTTAATGATTTTTGCCTTTCCGCAGTTCCTGTTCTATACGATTCCGAGGCTTGCGCAGGGCCTCGAAGAGAGTCTCTGAATGTAAGACAAGACACAGATGATCTTCCATGTATTAGCCCATCAAGCCTAGCTAGAACTGGAGCGCGCGCGAAGCGCGCGCGATGGTTCTAGTATATCTTTATATATAATATAGTTTTAAAGGATTTTGAGGTTCTCGCCCTCTCGGTTTTCCGCCGACGCTTCAAGACGGCTCAGGAAGCCGCAAGTGTGGCCCCAAGGCAGCCTCAGAGAATCCCAGGCGGGCGCCGAACCGGCCCAAACGATGCCCTAGAGGGCCCTGGAGGCCTCCAAGACGGCCCAGGAGGCCTCCAAGACCGCCTTTCCTTCGGTCGCAAATCATGGGAGCCTTGTATACCCTCGTGACTCCGCCTTGAGAGTGCATTCGCGTCGGCTAGCATCGGGTAATCGATGGGATAGCGCCGAATTCGCGTCGACTCGCGTCGATTAGCGTCGAGTCGCAAGAGCCAACAAGATGGCGCGGGAGGCACCCGTGAGTTCCCACCGAACTTCCCCCTGCCCTCTGGGAAGGCCGCCCCGCTTCGCCCCGCTCCCTGCGGGCCGCCAGCCCTCTCCCTCTCCCCTTCCCTGCCACCCCAGGGTGCGTTTCGATCCGATCGATCCAATTCGATATCGGTGATCCGATTCGAGTCCGAGATTCGGGCGATCCGCTGCGGCCCGATGCTCGCATGGCGTCGTTGCGTATCCCGCCAGAAATTCACTTCTGGACGCCTGTGGTCGTTTCCAGGTTGTCCATCCCTCTCCCGAGGCTCTCCACGAAGAGTTCCAGACGGCTCAAAACGCTTCCCAAACGCTCCAAGATGGGTCCCATACGGCCCCAATAGGGCGCCCCGAGAGGCAAACGTAAATCATTGGTTTCCCAAAGGCTTCGGCTGTTTTTTGGGGGGTCCGCCTTTTCGGCTTTTGCCGCTGCTCCAACCCAGCCCTGGAAGCACCACCGCCCGCCTCAGGACTGTGCCAAAGGCCCCCCCCCCCCGGAGGCGCCTGGAGCACCCAAGAGGCCCCCACACCGCTCCAAGATACTTCCAGGACAGCCCAACAAGTCACCGAGTCGCTCCCAGGTCGTCGGAAAATCGCTCTCCCACGCTGGCGGTCGCCTCCTGACGGCTCCCCACGCCCCCGAGGAGCTCCACGAAGGCTTCTAGACGGTGCAGACCGCCCCCCCAGACGCTCCAAGAGGGTTCCCAGACGGCCCTCAAGAGGGCCCTTCGCTACAAAAATAATTGGTTTCCTTCCGATTTGTTTCCGTCTTTTCGGCTTGCCGACGCTCCAATGGAGCCCTAGAAGCACCACGGCCGGCTTCAGGACGGTGTCAGAGGCTCCCCCGGGGCGCCCGGGGCGCCCAAGAGGTCCCAAAGCTGCCCCAAGACACCTACAGGACAGCCCAACAGGGCACCGAGTCGCCTCCGAGTCGCCTGAAAATCACTCCCACACCCCCGCGGTCGCCTCCAGACGGCCCACGCACGCTCCTGATGGGCTCCACGAAGGCTTCCAGACGGCCGAAATCGCCCCCCAGACACTCCGCGAGGGTTCCTAGAAAACCTATGGAGGCAAACATTTGTTGTTTTCCCGATGTTTTTGGGGGTGTCAGCCTTTTCGGCTTGCCGACGCTTCAACCTAGCCCCAGAAACACCACCCCAAGGCACCTCCAGGACAGCCCAATAAGGCGCCGAGTCGCGCCCGAGTCGCCGGGGAAAAAACTCCCACACGCCCGTGGTCGCCTCCTGTCGTGCCAGCACGCTCCCGACTCGTCGACGTCGTCGTGGGCCAAGGAGGTTCCACAATTTTCGCCAGGAGGGAACGGGCTCCTGCAGGAAAGGGGCCCTCAGGTTTTTGACATTTCCAGCCTCCCAGAGCCCTCCCGGAGGGTCAAAATCCGAAAGACTTCGAACTTGGACGTTCGAACCTCGCCCCCCCCCCCCCCAGAGGCGTGCGACGGCTTCTGGTCGAGGGTGGGGGAGGAGGAAGAGATGGGGGGAGGAGGAGGAACAGGAGGAACAGGAGCAGGCGGAGGAGCAAAGAGGGAGCAGGGAGGATGGAAACGAAGAACCACGGAGGGAGCAGATGATGATGATGCTGCTGCTGCTGCTGATGATGATGATGATGATGATGATGCTGCTGATACTGCTGATGATGATGCTGATGCTGATGCTGCTGTTGTTGATGATGATGATGGTGGTGGTTGTGGATGATGATGATGCTGATGGTGATGATGATGCTGCTGCTGTTGATGATGATGATGACGATGATGATGATAATTATGATGATGCTGCTGCTGATGATGATGATGATGGTGGTGGTGATGATGATGCTGATGATGCTGATGATGATGAGATGATGATGCTGCTGATGATGCTGACGATGATGATGATGATGCTGATGATGATGATGATGCTGATGCTGATGCTGATGATGCTGCTGCTGATGATGATGATGATGATGATGATGATGATTATGATGCTGATGATGATGATGATGATGATGATGATGATGATGATTATGATGATGATGATGATGATGATGATGATGATGATGATGATGATGATGATGATGATGATGATGATGATGATGATGATGATGATGATGATGATGATGATGATGATGATGATGATGGAGGATGAGGAGGATGAGGATGAGGATGAGGATGAGGATGATGAGGAAGAGGAGGAGGAGGATGAGGAGGAGGAGGATAACCACAGCAACGGCGAGGACCGAGATGGACGAGGACAGGAGAGGGCCGAGGCGGACGGAGGCTCTGCAAAACCCACATGCGTGAAAATTCGCAGTGCCGCCCATGACACGAGCGACAGCGAGAGCCATGGCCGAGCTGTGACTAGAACCTGAGCGCGCGTAGCGCGCGTGTTTCTAGTATATATATATATATATATATATTTATCCTATATATATAAGCACATGGGGAGGGGGCTCCAGGGCCACGGGGATCGTTGATTGCCTTTTGCCCCCCCTGGTCTTCTTCTGGCCCTTCCGGGCGCGGGCGATGGGCGTGTAAATGGTTCCAAAACAGCCCGAAGTGGCTCCGGGACGGTTCAACAAGACACCGAAACGGCTTCAGAGGGCCGTTGCGCGAGAACAAGTAGCGCCAAGATGGCCCATCTCCCAGGCTGCCCGCAAAGGCACACCGAGAGCGTCCAAGAGGAACACCGGAGGCACAAATAATAGTGCTTTCGTTTTCTATGATATTTGCGACTGATCCGGTACTGTGCACCGTGCAGTGTTTCTGGTATTGGCCATCGCGGGATGGACGTCCATGCGAGGGCGCATCGTGCTTCCAAACCTTGGTCTCTCGAGCGTTCACGCAGGAAACAGATGGTTCACGATCATCTTTGCTGTGCGATTCAGTTTCGCTGTCTGGCGTCGGGAGCGCCAGCACCTGCTGATTTCAAAACAATATCAGCCGAAAACTGCAGGTTGAAACAAAAATCGTTTTGCATTGGTGTAACTGTTGCAGAGTTTTAAGGCGTTTTTTTGGCGGTTCTCAGGGGGAAGCTCCATTTATACAGTAATTAGCCGCTTTCCGACCTTGAAAACGGGTGTAGTTTTCGAGAAGGAGTGTGGCCAAGGCGAGAGTCCCAAGCTGAAAACGTTCCTACATCCATTATTGAAGCTGTTGCCCCATTTTGGAAAGGACACGCTCTTCATACCTTGAACCGTAACAAGTTTTTCGGGCGAGTTTGCGCGGCGTGCAGGCGAAAACAACATTTTGAAGACAACCCCATCTCCATCTTCGAAACTGTTGCAAATATTCAAGACGAATGTGCGTGGTGCTGAGGCGATAACACCCGATTTTGATCAAATGACCCCTCCTCGATTGTTATCTGTTGCAAACTTTCAAGACGACTGCGCGCGGCGCTAAGGCGAGAGCCACGTCTCGAAAAGGAACCGCCCTCCCTCCTTGAAGGTGTTGCACACCTTGAAAAATAATGTGCACGGCGCTACGGTGGGAGTTACATTTTGAAAACCACCCGCCCTCCATCCTTGAGTTTTTTTTGCAAAGTCCAGTCTGCAGGATCCTAAGTGGTGAGGCCCTCTCAGGCGAAACGCGCAGACCGCCCGCCGATGCGTCTGGGTGTGCGACAAGGGTGAGTAAAATATAAGGGACAGGGATGGAGGAGGAGGAGGAGGAGGACGAATAGGAGGAAGACCAGTGCAAACCCAAGACTCATCAACGATGCCGGAATAAGCCCTCCCTTCAAACACCCACATCCTTAACCTCCGTAAGGATTCATTTGCATTTGGGGAAATACCCCGTTGGGAGACAACCGCTTGAAGATCCTGAAGCATGCCAAAGGACCTCTCTCGGGACCCCAACGCCACGGATCAGATGACTGTTGCGTCATGACGATCCGGAAGCGCGCCTCAACGCCATTCTTGGGACTTTTCACACCGCGAATCAACGCAATTGCTGCGCCTTGACACTCTTGAATCGTTCCAGAACGCCATTTCTGGTGGTACGTGAGCCAAAAACAAACCGATGTCCGCGGCGCTAAGGCAAGAGCCACATTTTGAAAACGATCCGCCCTCCATCCGTGAAGCTTTTGCAATTCAATTTGAAAACGGCCCGCCATCAATCCATGAATATCTTGCAAGTTTTTGAGACGAACGTGCGCTGCGCTAAGGCGAAAACCACGTTTCGGAACCGGCCCGCCCTCCATCTGTGAAACTGCTGCCTATCCCGAAGCTCAGGATCAGAAGTGGTGAGGAAGTCTCAGGCGGAACGCCCGGCCCGCCTTTTCGACCGGCCTCGGGGTGCGACACGGAGGAGCTATCTGAAAGGAGAAGGCATGGAGGAGGAGGAGGAGAAGGAGAAGTAGGAACTTCGCGCCGGAGCGGCCGCCCCAGAGGTTGGTGGCCCGCAGTCGCAGCACCGGCCCCGCGGCGCGCCGCTCCCCGCTCCCGCGGCGGCTTGCGCGGGGGTGAGGGGTCGTCCTCCTCCAGGTGGGGGGCGGCGAGGGCGACGACGACGAAGGCGAGGGCGGGCGCCGAGGACGAGGACGAGGAGGGCGACGATGTCGACGAGGGCGACGAGGCCGACCAGGATGGAGGGCCACGTGGAAGAGATGCCCCCCTCCCTGCCCCCTCCCTCCCTCCCGCCTCCTCCCTCCCTCCCTCCCTCCCCCCTTCCTCCTTCCCATTTTCCTCTTCCGTCGTTCGCAGGCCGTCGTCGGATGACCTCCGTCACAATCCGCTGTAACCCATCCTCTTTCCTTTTCCCTTGTCCCTCCGTCCGTTCTCCCGTCTCCTGCCTCCTTGTCTCCTTGTCTCCTCCCTCTTCCCTTTATCCTGCTTCCCTCACCTCTCCGTTTCTCCTCCTGTCCTCTCCCCTCATCCGCCTCCTCCTCCGCCTCCTCCTCCTTCTTGTCTTCCTCCCTTCCTCTTTTTTTTTTCCTCATCCTCCCTTCTCCCTTCTCCCGCGTCGTCGTCGTCGTCGTCAACGTCATCGTCGTCCGCCGCGTCCTCCTCGCTTTCTCCTCCTTTCTCCTCCATTCCTCCTTCCTCTTCCCTCCTTCCTTCCTCTTCCTTCCCTCTCTCCACCCTCAATCCTTCCCTCTCCGTCCACCCGCTCTACGCCTCCTTCTCCTCTTCCTCATGCTTATCCTACTCCTTTTTCCCCTTCCCGCCCTTTCCTCCCCTCTCTCCCTCCCTCTTCTTTTTCATTCCCCCCCTCCTCTTGTTCTTTTTCTTCTTCTTCTTCTTTTCTTGTTTTGTTCTTCTTCGTCTTTTTCTTCATTCTGTTTCTTCCTTTGCCTCCTCCTTTTCGCTCCTTCCTGTTCCCCCTCCCTCTTCTCTCCCTCCTCCCTCTTTTGCCTCCCTCATCCTCTTCCCCCCTGCGCCTCTTTCGAAAGGGGGGCCACCTGCGAGGGGGCGAGGGATGGCAACTTGTGAAGGAGGGAGCGGCGAGCGAGGAGGGAGGCGGGAGGCGGGAGGAGGGAGGAGGGACGGGGGAGAGGGGTGGGGAAGGGGGAGCGACGGGGGGGGATCGGAACGATGTTTGGGGAGAAGGTTGATGAGGATTGGCTGGGGGGAGAGGAGAAGGAAGATGAACACGACAAGTGTAAAACCAAGACTCATCAACGATAATCGCAGGAAGCCCTCCCTCCAAGTTCCTTCCCCACAGGCGCCTACGAAGGAAGTGCCCCGTTGGAGAACCACCGTTTGAACATCCGGAACCGTGCCAGAACACCATTCCATGGACTTTGGCGCCTGAAGCTGTTGCGACTCGACGATCGTACACCGTGCCAGGACACCATCTGTGGGACGTTAGCACCGCGAATCAGCTCAGCTGTGGCGCCCGGACGGTCCGTCATGGTGCCAAAACGCACGTGTTCTGGGATGTTAGCCACGGGCATCCTTGAACATGTTGTGGAATCGATGTGCGCGGCGCTAGGGCGAAAGCCACATCTTGAAAAGGAACCGCCCCCCATCCGTGAAACAGTTGCAGACCTGAAATGCTGAGGTCCACGGCGCGAAGGCGAGAGCCACATTTTGTGAACGACCCGCCCTCCATGCGTGAAGCTGATGCAAACATTTCAGACGGATGTGCGCGGCGCTAAGGCGAGAGCTACATTTTGAAAACGCCCGCCCTCCATCCGTGAAGCTGTTGCACACTTGAAAGGCGGATGTGCGCGGCGCTACGGCGAGAGCCACGCTTTGACAACCATGCGGAGTTATTTATTAGGAAACGGAGTGGAGGCGGAGGAGGATTAGGATCAGCAGTAGGGGCAATATAAGGAGCGAATGGTGGTGGTGGTGGTGGTGGTGACGAGGAGGCGGAGGGGAAGGAGGAGGAGGAGGAGAATCAGGAGGAGGAGTAGTGGGAAGGGAGGAGGGGGAGAAGGAGGAGAAAGAGGGGGAGTAGAAGTGGAGGGGGAAGTGAGGAGGGGGGGGGAGCGGAATTGGGAGGGGAGGGGAGAGAGAGAGGGGATTGCCGCGGGGCACGGAGGGTGGGCGGGGGAGGGGAGAGTGTCGGGCAGAAGGGCCTGGCGGGAGGGGCGGGCTGGGGTAGGAGGAGGTGGAGGCGGAGAAAGAGGAGGAACAGGATGAGGAGGAGGAGAGGGAGGGGTAGAGACGGGGACGATGAGGAGGATGAGAAGGGGAAGAGCAGAAGGTGGTCGAGGAGGGGCATGGGGATGAGACGGATGTTAATCGGGGAGAGGTCGATGATGATGATGATGCTGATGATGCTGCTGCTGCTGATGATGATGATGATCATGGTAATGATGCTGCTGATGATGATGGTGATCATGGTGCTGGTGATGCTGATGAGAGTGCTGATGATAATAATGATGATGAGGAGGAGGAAGAGGAATCTGAGGAAGATGATGATGCTGATGCTGATGATGATGAGGATGAGGAGGAGGAATGGTTAGAGGAGGGCGAGGAGGAGAAGGCTGATAAGCTGAAGGAAGAGTGTATTGATGCTGCTGCTGACGATGATGATGATGCTGATGATGATGATGATGATGCTGATAAAGAATGTGATGATGATGACGATACGATGATGATACTGCTGCTGCTGCTGCTGATGATGATGATGAAGATGATGATGATGATGATGATGATGATGATGATGATGATGATGATGCTGACGACAATGATGACCATAACGATGATACTGATTATGATGATGCTGCTGATGCTGATGCCGATGCGGATGCTGATGATGCTGATGATACTGATGATGATGACGATGATGATGCAGGTGATGATGATGCTGATGATGATGAGGGTGATGACAACGGCGACGAAGATGTTGGTGATGATTATGATGATGAGGAAGAGGAGGAATTTGAGGATAATGATGGTGAGGATGATACGATGATGATGGTGAAGACGAATACGAGCATGACGACCACGATAGTGATGACGATGATGACGATGATGACGATGATGCTGATGATACTGCTGATGATGATGCTGATGATGATCATGCTGATGATGATGACGATGATGCTGATGACGATGATGATGATGATGATGATGATTATGATGATGCTGATGCTCATGCTGATGCTGATGATGATGATGATGATGATGATGATAGTGATGATGATGATGCTCATGATGAGGATGCTGATGCTGCTGCTGATGATGATGCTGATGATGATGCCGACGACGACGACGACGACGATGATGATGATGATGATGATGATGATGATGATGATGGTGTTGGTGATTGCGATGCTGATGATGAAGATGATGTTGATGGAAATGATGGTGCTGATGATGTTGATGTTGATGATGATGATGATGATGATGATGAAGATGCTGATGATGATGGTGCTGTTGCTGATGATGATTATGATGATGCTGATGATGATGATGATGATGATGATGATGATGATGATGCTGATGATGATGATGATGATGATGATGATGATGATGATGATGATGATGCTGATGATGATGATGATGATGATGATGTGATGATGATGATGATGATGTGATGATGATGGTGATGATGATGATGATGATGATGATGGTGATGATGATGATGATGATGATGATGATGATGATGATGATGATGATGATGATGATGATGATGATGATGATGATGATGATGATGATGATGATGATGATGATGATGATGATGATGATGATGATGATGATGATGATTGATGATGATGATGATGATGATGATGATGATGATGATGATGATGATGATGATGATGATGATGGTGGTGGTGGGTGGTGGTGGTGGGTGGTGGTGGTGGTGGTGGTGGTGGTGATGATGATGATGATGATGATGATGACGATGATGATGATGATGACGATGATGAGTAGAAGGCGGAGGAGGAGGATGAGGAGGAGGGGACGGAGAGATTCGCATGATCGAGTCGTTGCTGCTGGCTGGCAAGGTGTCCAAGGCCACGGACGGTCGCCTTGGCGGGGAAGGTGGAGATGGAGGCTCACCTGGGCACCGCCGAGAAGCTGAATGCGCTGTTCGACCTGATGCTTCATGACTGGTAGGGGCCGTACCTGGGGCCATGGAGGTGGAAGCGCCGGGAGCGCAGCAGAGGTCCGCCATTAAGCAGGAAGTCGCTGCGCGCATCTCTCGCTTTCCGCGGCTTTCTGGGGCGGGGCCTTCAGGGCCCAGATACGAGCATTGGGGAACATTGTGACACCACCGGGACGGTCTCCAGGCAGCCGCCGTGGTTCTTACCAGATTTCTGTTCGGAGAGGTGCTGGAGGACGTTCTCTCAAGGATCATCTCGGAGGTCGTCTGCTGGCTTTGAAGAAGGCGGATGGCGGTGTCCAGCCGCTGTCCCGCGGCAGCATTCTGCGGCGCATCATCGCCAGAGCGGTGTGCAAGGTGGAGTCTGGCGCACTCCGCGAGCTGGGAGGGCCACGCCAATATGGCATATCCCGGCCTGCCGGGGTAGAACTAATGCACAACATCTTTGTGGCGTCTGGTGAAGAACATCCTGCTGCGGCGTTCTTGTCATTCGATTGCGAAAGCGCTTTCAATATGATCGCACGGCCAACCATGCGGACGGCTTGTGCAGGAACGCTGTTGGGTCGCATCGCCGATGTATGGTACCGCGGTTCGACGACGCATTGGTTTTGGCATTCTTCTGGAAGGGCTTGGCCAGTTCATTTTGCTCGGGGCGTTGACCGAGGCTGCCCTCTGAGCCCTGCTCTGTTCCGTGCTGCGCTGGCCCCAGCATTGGCGTCGATCGATCAGCGGCTTCGCTCCCTGGATTCGCGGGCGCGGGTGTACGTTTACCTGGAACATATTTTGTTGCTATCGATGCCCGCTTCGCCGCGGAGGTCGTCTCAGGGGCGAGGGGCGCGCTGCTGGGCATCGGTTTGGGGCTTCCACTGACCATGTCAAAATTGTGGATGCCCGACCCCGCTGCCCCCATACCGGCGCAGGTCGCTATCCGGAGGGCGAGCGAGCTCCGATGTCTCGGTAACGCAACGCGTTTTTTCGTGGCCAGTCTCGACGAGGACGACCAGCATCGCCTCGGGGCCCCCTGACGCCAGACAGTCGTTTCGCGGCATCGTTGGAGGCGTTGGACTTTCTCTTTGGCAGGACGCAAATCCTCCTCACCAAATGGCTGCGCGTTCAGGCTGCATTCGCGTTGCTGCGTGCCTCCGTGGGCGGGGCCAGCAACCCCCTGCTCAGAGCTTGTTTTGCGAACGAAACCTGGTGCGCGGAGTGCGACCGCCGAGTTGTTGCCGTCCTCGAGCACCTTCTCGGCGCCCAGCTCACCCCGCGCCTGCGGCAGCAGTTTTGGCGGCCGTGCCAGGACGGAGGCCTGGGGCTCCATTCCGCTCGCTTGACCCAGAGTGCTGCGCATATCGCCTCCTGGCAACAGTGCCCCGCAGACGTCGCCGCGGCGCGGGGGTCGCACTCGGCCGACGCTCTCCTTGCCTGGGCGCCGCGCGCGGGCGCTGCCCCGACGGTCGCGGGGGACGAGTTCCGTCGTCTTCGATGCCAAGGCTATGAGGCCGATTGGGCGGCTTGCTTCGTTTCCAGTCGCATGAAGCAGTAGAAGGCGTTGATGAAACACGTCGGCACGAAGTGCCGGGAGACTTTGCTGCAAGACCTCGACCGCCCAGGTCGCGCCGTCTGGCGGTCTGCGGGCGACGAGGGTGGTGCTGTCCTGCTGCCGCCCACCGACAAGAGCCACCTGGTGCTGGATGAACACTTCCTGGTGGCCTTGCGCCTGCGGCTGCAGATGTTGCACCCCGAAGCTCTGCGCGCGCGCCCGCCCGCCAGCACTTGCGGGCGCAGGTCATCGCAGCTAGGGCAGAGGTGCGATTGCGGCATGGACGACGGGGGGGTCATGTTCTGACGTGTGAAGTCGGCGGCGGAGTTGTGCGGAGGCATGATCTGACTCGCGATTGGTCGGCGGCGTGGATCGCTGCCGTCGCGGGGGGCCCAGCGCTCACCGAGCAGTTCGTTCCGAAGTGGGACCGACGAGTGGAGGTGGGCGGGGGGGGGGGGCAAACGTTGTTTTTAATGACCGGAACGCCCAGCGCGCATGCATCGACGTCTGCGTCCCCGCTGCGTATCCACTTGTTCCGAACTGCTCCGTGCGCGGGCGGCGCGGGGTGGCGCTGCGGCCGGGCGGGCCGTGGATGGCGACCGCTTGCGGTGCCCAGGGCCGGACCTAGTTCCTGTGGCCGTGGAAGCCCTTGGCCGACCAAGCGCCGACTCCATTGCCTTCCTCTACGCGTGCGCGCCAGAGGACCCTTCTGAGCGGTCGCAGGTTCTGGGCTCCGCTTGACAGGCGTTGTCCGCGTTGCTGCAGACCCAGAACGCAAAGCTTGTGATGGCCGCCGAATCGGCTTGGTGCGTTGCCGTTTGTTGATCAATCTGTCCTCCCCTTTTCCCTTCCCTCCTCCTCCGCCGCGTCCTTCTCCTCCTTTTCCTCGCTCCTCCGTAGTCGGCGGTGGTGCGCGGCGCCTAACGGTGTGGTCTGGTGGCGCGCGCCACGCGGCGGCGGCCCCGTCTCCTCCGCCTTCCGGTTCCTCCTGGCCCCCCCTCCCTCTCACCTCTGCCTCGCCGCTGCCACGTTTTAGGGGTGTGCCCTGTCGCCGGCGCCCGGGTGGAGTTGCGCCTTCTGCCGCGGGTGTTGAGAAACATTCCTGGATGGGTTCACCCTTTCTTTGTTTTTCTTGTAGCGTGGGCTCGGCCTCGACACACCTAACCCTGGTGGGCGCGCGCCTCGAAGCTAGGTGCGTGCCGGGGCTGCGGATTCAGTTGGAGGACGAGGACGAGGAGGAGGAGGAGGAGGAGGAGGAGGAGGAGGAGGAGGAGGAGGAGGAGGAGGAGGAGGAGGGGGAGGAGGAGGAGGAGGAGGAAGAAGGTGAGGATGAGGATGAGGATGAGTATGGGGCAGGAGTAGTAGCGGGAACGTCGGACGGGGTGAAGGGACCTGGCGCCTCGAGGAGTCGGCGGGTGGGAGTGCCGTGGCGCCCCGGGCCAGGCGTGCTACTCGGGGAGGAGGCACCGCGGGAAGCAGAGCGTCGCGGAGGCCGTGTTT